GATGTCTCGACGTTGTTGGCGGCCTCGACTATCCTAGCATTGGCTTCACGCAATTCCGTCTCCAGTTGTCGACGCGAAATGTCGGCCCGACGCGCAGACTCCTGCTCTGTTTTCAGCTCTCCGGCCAGTTTGGCCACCTCTTGTTGAAGTCGATTGGCGCGATCCTCCATGCCCTACATGTGGATGGGCGTTGACGAAAGGGGAGGAGGATGAGAAAACGGAAAGACAACTGTGACGCCGAACCGGACAGAGAGGTCGAGTGGATGTGAGTTTGGCGAAAATAATGGATTCGTGGTCTCAAAGAGGGCTATTGCCCAGACTCGGAGGTACAGGTCAACAGGTTCCTACCTCAAGTGTATCCTCAAGCTGTGAAAACAGTACAAGTGAAGAGTCAGCAGTTCATCGTCTCCTTCTTTCTGCTTCTCGCTTCAGCGATCACTTGATACGAGTACTATACAAACTGGCCTCAATTACTCTTATCCCTCTCTCCAAGGATCTGCAAGGACTATAAAATTCAATATCCCCTTCCTAACTTCAAGCCTATATTCCGTTGGAAAATAGATACCAAACACTTTCTTTCAGTCAGAGCAAATCAAGGCTCCTTAAATTTGAGTACTTGTTAGGAATCAGTTGGTTAGTCACTAGGTCCGATTGGATTATTTCAGAGGCAAAGTTGTACTTATTTTTGTTTATCAGTAGGGTTTCGAGACCACCAGCAAATCAGTTTTATGGGAAGTATTTGCTCTATTTCGTTTAAGTTGATGAAGGAGTGGTAGTTGAAATTTCCCACAATGATATGAGTAAAACTCATGTTTCTATTGAATTTCACATAGCCTTACCACCCAAAAAAGGTATTATCATCCAAGCAAGACCGGACTACAGTATTGACCTCGCACAAGTCTCCTCAGTACCCCCAGCCGAACTCGAACATGGTATGCAGCGGATAATCTCGACACGTAAAACACTATGCCACATTGCTACGAGTGCCCTTGGGACACAGAACCTATGCGAATTTCAAGAAAGGCCATGCATTTTCCCGTATCACATTCTGTAATGGGATTGTTGATGAAGCAAAGTGACATTTACTCTAGCAATCGACGATATTACTTATTTTTAATAAGTAAGTAGGTTTTAGAGACTACCAACAAATTATAGTTAGGACATATGCTCATCCTAGTCGGTTGCTAGGACAAATACAACTTTGCTTTATCGACAATTCCATCACATAATGTAATGTGGGAAAATGCCTGGCCTCCCTTGAAATTAGCATAGGCTGCACTGTCATAGTTAGAATTCCGATGGAGGTGCTAATGAGGCCTAAGCGATGTGAAAACGGCAGTCCACTTCAGCCAGACTGTATGAAATCCAATAGACAAGTTTATCAATATTTTAATTGGCCTCTTTTTACGAAGTAAAAAGCGAGTCTTCAAACCTCAGCTCTTTTTTAGTTTCTTCAGTTTAGCCTTTTTTGTAGTTGATCAATTTCCGGAGGGTTGATTACAGGCGAAGGAAAAACTTTCTGGTTGTCTTGACATTCCTATGGCTGCTTCTTGAGCAACCTTGTTGTCTCTCGGAGGCCCTTTGGATGAAACTTGAGTGCGAATGTAAAGACCTATCACTCGACTGTCCAAGTGGTTATGACGACAGCTTCATGGGAGTGGAATGGCAAAGTTAGGGGCTTGTGGACAGACATTTGAAGGATACCTCTTTTCCATTGTTCAGGTCGTCGATGTCGCCATGTAGCACCGAAATTTCGCTCTCCAAACGACGCCGGTCCGCCTGCAGACCATTGATCTGAACGGTCAGTTCACTCGTCTTGTTGGACAACTCGGCCGCCTCCGCCTCCAACTTGCGTCGTGTTCGGTCGGTCACCTCGTATTGACCACGAATCGTCTCCAGCTCAGATGAGACCGAGTTGCGGCGACCCTCTGAAAGCTGCGAGCAGTAGGTTGCATGATTGCGTTGGCAGAGGGGGTGGGATGGAAATCCGTATGGAGCGAAAGATGAGCATAGAAAGCAGAAGCCCTGACGTGAAGGCTTTTAGAAACATGTGAATTACATGAATTGGGCTACAAATTACTGCCCGAAGGCGGTATGGTAGGTAGGCTCCATAAATGATGTGCTGGAGTACACGCGAAAAGTGATGACCAAGAGACGTGTCAATGAGTGCGTATAAAGCATTTTTAAAAGAGTGTGCGCTAAGCAGCAGGAGTGAAGTAGGGATGAATATAGAATAGGTTTCGAAACTATTAGCAAAGCGTGAATAAGAATTCCATAATGATTGATAGTTAATTTCTATTAAATTAACTACGCTACTTATAGCCCGATAAAGTAGGCTGGTGAGACTATTAGGAAATCGTGAACAAGAATACTAGTTTATATTCTACACTACTCGGGTTGTCGATTGGAAACATTGTGGGAATACTCAACTATCAGTCCTTAATCATCTTCAACGAAATGTGTAATAATAGATCAGGCCGAAGGAAGAAGTTGAGTGAGAAAGAGCGGTGAGACAAGTACATATAATAATTTCATTATGACTATGAGAGGATTGAGGATTAAACCGCAGCCTTGGATCAACACTCCCGGCACAGTTGTAGGGATGAGGACACCAGCAGAAAGTGTGAATAGATTTCAGATAGACCTGTATAAACAAGTAAGAAATTGTGATATTTAAGGCGTGATGCGAGGATATAGGATAGGTGAATAGCTCCGGGCAGAAGGAGAGATACCACAACTATTTAGCACACATTTGGTCAAAGGATCAACTTCACTTGCCTCTTTGACGAGTTATGGTATGGTACAAGACTCATTTACGATGCCGGCGAAACGTCTGGGAATGTACCCCGCCCACGGTCCGACTCTGTAAATGATCATGCATACTATGGACTCCGGACAAGATGCGTTCCTCTAGATCATCCTACCAATGTGACCAAGTTGCGAAAACATGGTTAAACAACTTCTTAGCTGACTTGATTTGGTATTTAGCGCGATCGTAAGGAGTTCTGGTAGTGGAGAAAGCTGAGAATAACTGATTATAAGGCTCTATTTTGTGAATTTATTCGTAATAGGTCCTCCATCGTGCAGAGTCAACCTCACCAGAAATTTTTCTAGTTTGAACTTTCCAAGAATATGCTTTGAGTATAGCCAGGATATTGTGCCCAGACGATGCAGGCAGTGATAAAGTCCATTTCCCATAATCTTCTCGGTCGGATCCTCTCCACCTTAAGTATTCGTATTCTTGAGCCCCCTTTCTCGAATCCATTATGTAAAGTCTATTTGATAGAATCCTCTTTCGCAATTCTTCCTCCTCGACTATTTTTTCTTAAACCTTTTCTTTGAGTTAACTTTTCATCATTTTATTTTTCCATACCCACTTCTTGGAGTTGTGAGAACGGATCCTCTTTATGTGGCTATGAGCATTTTTGATTCTATTCACTCTGTTGGGGACAAATGGACTCACTCCTTTATATTTAAGCTCATGGTTGCCGTCATGCCTTTGAGGTTTAGACTCTGAGCCTTGCACTATTCGGGGATCACTCTAGTCTAGATGCTATGAGTAGAGATCCTTCCTGTGGCTGGGTTACTCCTCCCACTTACAAGCAAGAAATTAAATGTTCTTTATCATAAAAATCCGGGCTAAGAACAGGGAATAATGTGTTTCCAGTGTTTTACAAATCATAAACGGCACTCATCTGAAGAAAAGTGACATAATTTGTTTCCACCGATTTGCCATAAATAGAACATCTCAAAGAGACGAGTGAGTTAGGCGAAAAACATTATTTCTTCATAATAATTAACCTTTATACGTAATTTAGCACAATGTCTCGTTAAAGAGGAATAATTTTTACTCAGAGTCTCTTTGTTTAGAATTAAGCAACCCGACACCTTTTCTCATGTCCTGACACTGAGGTCATATCTTCTTTCACAAAATATAGGTGAACTGCTAGGA